TTTTTAGCTGGCTTCCCAGGATAATGTTTCATGCATGAAAAGCAAAATATTATCGATTTTTGGTGACTCAACTTCCTCGATAAGGATCGTTTTGAGGTAAAAAGCGCGGGTAGTTTTCAAACTCAAATTAGTTCCCGCCATTTTACAGCAACTTCCATGAGTGAAACAACAGCGGCATCGACGACGACTCATGCCCCAACGATCGATATCGGGCCCACGTCAACCAGCACGTCGGCATCGACAGAACCAGCACCAGCCCTAGTGGATGACGAGGAGTATAGCGACGATGGATTCGATTCACAAAACCTTCGGTACAATTGCAACCAGCTCCACGCGAAAATCCGCGAATTTCTGGGTACTAAGGAGATGACGCTGAAGGAGTTCCCCAAGGAATGCCAAGTCAACCCAGGCCCATACTACCGATTCATGGACCTTAATGGCCGGGGCAGAGGAGATGGCAATACCAGCTTTATTGTTTTCTATTGACGTGACCGGAGGGCGAAGATTGAGAAAAGAAAGCAAAAAGCGCTTCGGAACAACGTGAGCAGAAGGCAAAAAAAAAAAGACAAGAGACGGACTGGATTTACTCAAACGCATCCAGGAAATTGAATTGGAAGGGCGAAAATGGTTATCCGTCAGTCTACGATGGATTGCGACGAGATGCGCAAGAAGATCAACGAATTCCTGGGTGAAAAAATCATCACTCAAACAGCTTTTCTGAAAGCCTTGGGAAATGTCAGTGCCAACAGTTTGCGCAGCTTTATTAGCTTGAAACGAGTAAATACGAGAAACACACATATACTAAATGATCAGCACTCATACACTTTCCCCCAGCACTCAAACATAAACAGAACGGACCTTCGCAGCCGTGTGTCCCACACAAACTCCACACAAACGATTTCCGACCAGCACGCAGGCACGTGGCGCAACACAGAGCTCGACGGCAGTTCTCCGTCCGTACTGACGGACACAGGTGACCCCAAGAAGCGCAAAGCGACTCTATCGCTGCGCAAAGACCATTACCAGGTTATCCAGCAAGTGTGACTGCATCAAAGGCCAGAACTGATGAGTAAAATACCCGAAAGGGCAAGTTGTATGCTGTCAAATTGTGTATACCCTCAAGGACAGCGGTGGAGGGGAATGAGCGTAGTGTTGGTATGTAATGGGAGAGCGCCACCAGTATTGAGAAGAATCGCCTGTCGATGAAGCCTCTCGATGAGGCTGCGTTGCTTGGTTGTTACTCAGCTCACGTACAGCCAAGCAACGCTCACGTCAAGATGGTAAGTACGCGCACAAAGTGTACATTGTTCCAGTTAAGCTAATACTTCTATGTGTTTGTGCATGCCATTCCAGCTTAGTTGATATGCAGCGCGTGCCCGTTAGAGGTTGGGCGTCCAGGACCTTGGCGGCCTGAAGAAATCGTTCGCTTCTTGTTCGGACCTCGGTACACGAGACGCTCACGTCCGGAAAGGTCGATGTGGCCTCTCGCATTCAATGCAGACAGTACGTGCGTGCAGATACCGAATTTCATGTGGAACCGACACGGACATGTGAGCGCACGGACGTTTACTCTCCACCCACTGGCAGGCATGCCTTCCGTTTCCATGCGAGCTGTGTGAAGCCCTAATTGGGCAGAAGCGGGTAGATCCTCGTGCTTGCGACGCTGGTTCTCATCGTAAGGTCTACTCGCCGGAAGTGCACGTACATACACTACGTCAGG